CCATTTAACCACAGGACCACCCACCATACCACCACCACCAACAACCACCCTAAAACTACTAAAACATAGAAACCACCAACATCCATGCAAACAACCAAAAAAATCCTCATCATCACCATTATATACGTCGCTACAGTCCGATCTATGCTACTGCAACCGCCATTTAGACCGCTACAGGTGCAATCTACACGGCAACCTCTTTGCGCAGCACCACTATGCAACAATATCGCCGCTACAAATCACCATCGCACAACACCGTATGCACATATCTCCACTGCATCACCATAGATTTCATCATTTTTTTTATCACATACAGAGATCACCATTTCGTAATGATGCAGCGTCCCTAATAGAGTCATCGCCCCTCACATCGCAGACCACCCACTCCATTAGAACGGATCGAGACGGCGCTCAAACCACTGTACAAAACAAAACTCTAAATCGGATCAAGGCGGTGCTACAATCAAATCGCCAAACAAAGCCAAACTCTAGCAGATCGGCTCTATTACGACAAGCAACGTTCGCCACTGTGAGCGTTGGTACCATGCTGGTGTCGGTGCGGGTGAAAACGACTATAGAGATGAGAGGTAGAGAGAGAATGAAAATTTAGGATTTGAGGAAATAAGGTATGGTTATTTATAAATTAATTTAATTTTCTATTATTATTGAATTATCATCTGATTTTTGTATAAACAAATTTTAAATCTAATTTTTGAAATTGTGACTTAAAATATCCGTTTCTGTTTCTATGTAATTTGCACTTCTGATATCTTGGTTGGTTCATAACAATAATGTAATCAATTTTTTCCTAAAGGTCTAATAAAAAAATATTTTTTTCAAAATATTCAAACTCACTAAGTTGATTTGTTCGGTTCGTAAAATTTTAATTGAGTGAAAATAACTAATACCAGGGAACAAATTATTAAATCAAAAGTAATCAACGGAATAAATATAATATTTTTGTAATTGCAATTTAAGATAACTGTCTATCCCATGTTTGGAAAAATAGATAATACCATAAGAGGAAATTAGTCCACACACGTCTCGAATTTGAAAATTTGAAATTACGTCCTCAATTTGAAAATTTTGACGTTTAAGTCCTTATTTCTAAATGGCAAAATCATTAAGGGGCCGTTTGATTGCAAGGGTGGAAAATGGGTGGAAAGAAAATGAATTCTAGAAAAAATAATTGACTAGAAAATGTTTTGCAGAGAATTGTTAATTAAGTGTGTTTGATTGGTATAAATTTCCACCAGGAAAATTTTTAAATTTTATATTCGTTTGATTTTGTTTTATATGAAAATTGTCCATTAAAGTGATATTTTTTCCACAATTGGTTATAAAATTTATTTCCATTACCAAAAAGTAAAAAAAAAAAATGAAATTTTTTCCATCAAATTTTAGTTTTCGTTTGACTTTGTTTTACATGAAAATTGTTTATTAAAGTGACTTTTTTTTTTTTTTTTACAATAGATTATGANGTTTATTAAAGTGATTTTTTTTTTTACAATAGATTATGAAATTTGTTTCCATTGCCAAAAAAAAAAAAAAAAAAAAACTGGAATTACTTTTCCCACCAAAAAGGTTGGAATATCAATTCAGCAAAACCAAAGAAAATGTGCACGTGTAGGGGTGGGAGGGAAAACCAATTCCCTAGAAAAAATGGCTATCAAACATGACAAATTGATGGAAATGGAAAATGTTTTCCATTTTCCATGGAAAATATTTGCTATAAAAAACAACCCTAATTATTTTCTACAGAAAAGGATGGGGTAGTTTTATTCACATAATATTTTAATTACACTAAAGGTCATTGACTTTTATTCATTATCTTACATATGCCCTTAACTTTTTTTCATTACGTTATTATTTTTAACATTTCATTGATCAGAAAATCTTATCCCTAATCATGCTTTTCGTCCAAAAATATTATTAATGTGCTCTAAATGTCAAATATTTAATCGCATGTTTGTAACATTTTTTTTTGTTTATTCAAAAATAAAATGAACAAACACGTTTTTTTTACTCTATTTTAAAGAAAATTTTAAAGAGAAATCATAAACAGAAATAATTTATGTTAATTTGAGAATAAGAACGTGATTAAAAAGTCTGAGATATAAACATGATAATGTATTAATGTTATGAACATTTTCTTGTAATTAAAATATAGTCTAATAATTAAAAACTGGGGGTGGATATATTTAAGGCATATTCGGTATAAAATCGGATTAAAATTGAAAAACTAGCCGTTATTGTTGACTTTTATTAGATGAGTGAGACCCAATAACAACTTTATTTTCAATTTTAATTGGATTTTAATCTTTATCAAACGAGCACTAAGTGATTTTAATCTAAAGGAAATCCTAATTTTCAGTTTATAACTTCTTTATGAAATTCTTTAATCATAAATAATATTATACTTACAAGTGATTATTCGATATCTAATTTAATATTAATTTAAAATTGAAACATTTACTTATAATTAAAATTTTAAGTGCAAGTAATTTTTTTACTAATAAGTAAATTTTTTTAAGTTACAAGTTAAGTTTGTACATATNCTACAGAAAAGGATGGGGTAGTTTTATTCACATAATATTTTAATTACACTAAAGGTCATTGACTTTTATTCATTATCTTACATATGCCCTTAACTTTTTTTCATTACGTTATTATTTTTAACATTTCATTGATCAGAAAATCTTATCCCTAATCATGCTTTTCGTCCAAAAATATTATTAATGTGCTCTAAACGTCAAATATTTAATCGCATGTTTGTAACCATTTTTTTTTTTTGTTTATTCAAAAATAAAATGAACAAACGTGTTTTTTTTTACTCTATTTTAAAGAAAATTTTAAAGAGAAATCATAAACAGAAATAATTAATGTTAATTTGAGAATAAGAACGTGATTAAAAAGTCTGAGATATAAACATGATAATGTATTAATGTTATGAACATTTTCTTGTAATTAAAATATAGTCTAATAATTAAAAACTGGGGGTGGATATATTTAAGGCATGTTCGGTATAAAATCGGATTAAAATTGAAAAACTAGCCGTTATTGTTGACTTTTATTAGATGAGTGTGACCCAATAATAACTTTATTTTCAATTTTAATTGGATTTTAATCTTTATCAAACTAGCACTAAGTGATTTTAATCTAAAGGAAATCCTAATTTTCAGTTTATAACTTCTTTATGAAATTCTTTAATCATAAATAATATTATACTTACAAGTGATTATTCTATATCTAATTTAATATTAATTTAAAATTGAAACATTTACTTATAATTAAAATTTTAAGTGCAAGTAATTTTTTTACTAATAAGTAAATTTTTTTAGAGTTACAAGTTAAGTTTGTACATATAACTTTTTAAATATATTCAAAATTTTTACTTATAAATTACTATTTATATTTTATAAATGAATGTTTGTCTTATTAGTAATATATTACTTTATAAACAAGTGTCACGTCTAATATTCATATAAAAAATAGATGAATAGATAGGACGAAGCGAGCTCACAGAAATGACGCATTATCAAACTTATTGAAAATTAAAGCAAGAAAGGCCTTTTAAAATAAATTTTTTTCTTATGAAATTGTTTAGTTATTGTATGTTTATTTACAAGTTAGTTTTGAATAAAATAGATTGATTGAAAATAATTATTTTGTTAAGCATATGAAGAAAATTTGAAGGACAGTCAAAAATCATCAATTTAAAGTCTTGTTTGATGTTCATTAAAACGAGTTTTTTAGAGAAAATAAATTTTGGAATGGTGAATTTTTAAGAGAATATACTCGTAAAATTAGGAATTTTTTTGAATTTATGTTTAAAATATTTTATTGAGAGATAAAAATATTTTTTTGGAAAAAAAGAGTGTGTGAAGATCGGTGGATATCTTCTATATATTAAAAATGGCTATGTAACGGAATTTCTTGTTTTTAACGGAAAAACTAACGGAATTTGTTGTTTTAACGGACTATGTAACGGAATTTCTTATTTTAAACAGGCAGCTGCACCTTCCTTCAATATTTTTATCATAACTTTGTATTCCGATAT